GAAAACTAAAAAATAAATATTAAAAAATTCTCTCTCTTTAAAAAAAAAAAAAGACATGTAAGCTCATAAATGAAGAACAGAACTGGAATATCACTGTTTTGCAATATCTGATAATCCGAAMTATTTAGCCACTGAGCATAACAGTTGCTAATAAATATTCAGTGCCTCTTGATGGAAATATACAACCCCACAGTGACATATTCTAGCCAAAATAAAATAAATCTGGTCAAGCATGTAGAACAGTACTACCCAATACAACTTTCTAACGGTGATCAAAAGATTCTATTCTGTACTGTTCAATACGGGAGCCACTAAAAAAACAGCTAGCGTGGCCAAAGAGCTTAATTTTTAATCTTACTTAACTAAAAAGCCACATGTGACAAGGGCTATCACACTGGACAGTACAGCTGCAGCGCCAAATACCCATTTAGAGAAAACAGAGAGGACTGAGGAATGTTAAAACCCCTTGGTGATACATTCAGCAAAATCCAGACTGTTGGGAACTCCACAAAACAATAACCCATTTCTTTAACAATTAACTTGTAAGGACATAAAAAGAAATGGAGGGAAAATGCATCAATTAAAAAAGACTGAAAAACGTTGCCAATCAATTACAATGTGTAGACATCATTGTAGACCTGGTTAAGCAAACTGGGGGGGAAGTAGGAATTTATGAGATATTTAACAATAGTTCATGTGGGTGTGATCATGTATTTACCTATTAGAGGTACATTCTGAACTATTTATACTCGCAATACAGTCAGGCATTGCTTAATGCCAGGGATATATTCTCAGAAAACCTTGTTAGGCAATTTCATCATTGCGCGGGCATCATAGAGTGTGCACTTACACAAACTAAGCTGGCTAAGAATCACCAGACATTGTAATCTCCGGGGACCATAGTTGTATATGTGTGTAGTCTGCAGTTACTCCGTGCATGACTTAGAGTGACGTCTGAGATTTACTTCAAAGTCATGGGTGGAAGGATAAAGGGAGGTATGTATGGCAAGACTGGTCAAGGGCAATGGTTGTTGGGGCTAGATGACAGATACATACCGCTCTGCCTTTGAAATTCTCCATAATTAAAAGTGATGGGGAAGAAAAAGAGTACTCCAAGTTCATATATCTGTCACGACTGGAAAAGTCACACTAGAGAGATAGGTAAAAGACTGAGAGTACTTTCAAAGAATTCTAAACTCAGCTGTTTTGTTTTTGGATACTGGGGATTGAACCCAGGGTGCTTTACCACTGAGTTACATCTCTAGCTCTTCTATTGTTGAGACAGGTTCTTGAAAAGTTGCTTAGAGCCTCGCTAAGTTGCTGAGGCTGGCCTCAAACTTGTAGTCCTCCTGCCTCAGCCTCCTAAGTCACTGGGTTTATAGGCATGTACCACTGTGTCCACTAAACTCAATTTCTTTTACCCACAGGAGGAGCCGAAGGAAGAGAGAAAAGTACAGGATGGATAGAACAATTTCACCTGTTAGTCTGTATTTGATTCTGGATTCTCCTAGCCACACTGGGGAATAAATAATATCAGTCAACTGAATTAATTCCAAACTTTGTTTCTGATAAGACTCTGGACAAAGGTAATCAGTATTTTCTGGGTTTCTCTAACCCACAGCTGGAGATCTACAAATGGTTCTATCACAAAAGGAATCAAAGAGACCTGGCATGAACACTGTCCTAGATATACGTTATCTCCCCACCTCAATCTGTTTTGTAAAATTACAGAATCCTCGGTATTAAAAAGACAGTTTCACAACTTGCCCTGAGGTCCACAGTCAAAAGGCAGCTGGGATGGACCACATTTCCTAACCTGCCTCCAGGACTCCTTTTCTGATCCCCTCACCACATAAACAAGAGCAGGTTGCCAAATCCCAAGTCCCTATAGCAGGCAACACAATGTTAGACCTTAGCAGACCTTGCTGTATGTCACTGTCAGCCAACTCCCTGTTAGACAGTTTGTGCATGCACAAAAGTGCTAAATATTTTGCATTTGTTATCTAACTATTTAACCAACACCATGCTTCCAAGGCCAGTTCTATTATTTCCTCATTTTACAGATCAGGGAAGAGGCTTTGAGGAAATAAACTGTCTATGAGGACAGATGGTAGGATTTGGTTTTCCTTCTCAAAAACCTTCCAGRGCTTCTTCTCCAGGAGCATCCATGCTTCTTGGCTTGGCCCCCTGAACCATCTCACCCTGTCCTCCTTTTCCAACCTTATACTTCCAACTCTCCCCAACAGCTGCGTCTCCTATCATTTAGACACCAGAGCTCTGAGTCTTTTCCTTACTCAAGCTGTGGGGCTCAGCCCATACCACCCTAAAGCCTGCCCTGCCAGCAATTTCCACAGCCTTCAAATCCATGTCAAGCAAACTTCCCTATTTGGAAGTGATCACATCTTTGCCTATGCTTGGAAGTGATCACATCTTTGCCTATGCTTCTGGTTGGACATTCATTCTCCTATAATAGTTAATAGTATGTATGTTTCCCCACCAACCCAAATAGTATCTACAGTTACTGGGCACATACCATGTTGCACCTTTAACTTATTTATTCTCACAACTATCATTGTTAGCCCCCATTTWACAGATAAGGAAACTGAGGCCCAGAGGATGAGCAACTTGCTCAAGGTCACAAGCTAAGAATTGACAAAGCTGGAGCTTAGATGCTTCACCACAACTGAAAGAGGATTCTAGAAGGAACACCCAGATGGGAGCGTTTTCATTGCCTTGCATACTGCAGGCACTCCATAAAGTAGGATGGTTTGTTGCCTCCCTGTATAGGATACAATGGCTCAAATTTGCCCTTACTCCTATCATTAAAGCCCACTGCCTAGTGAGGTATTAAAGCATGCCATCAGGCTGGGGACCCTAGCTCATGGTAGAGCACTTGCCCAGCATGAGGCCCTGGTTCCATCCTCAATACCCCTACGCCAAACAGCAATGCATCATGAATGGTCCTCATCCTTGAATGGCTTTCCTTCTCTTCCACTTAAGAAACTAATTCTTTTTTTTTTTAATATTTATTTTTTAGTTTTCGGCAGACACAACATGTTTGTTTGTATGTGGTGCTGAGGATCGAACCCGGGCACACGCATGCCAGGCGAGCGCGCTACCGCTTGAGCCACATCCCCAGCCCAAGAAACTAATTCCAAAAAGAAACTTAGCATGCCTTGCAAAGAACTTTAGAATTGCACAACATGCTAAACTGTGGACAATTTGATCAGTCATTTGAAAACCCACCAATACCATGGCTGATATTCTAAAGGATCAAAGAATACTAATACTAAGATTTCTCTCTTTGAGTTAGAGGCAGAGAGAAGGAACCCTAATGCTATCAGTAAATAAAAACTCCCTGGGAAACTATGGAGAGAAGGATCCTTGTAGACGGCACAGGAGCAAACTACACCAGACACACCCTCCCAGCTCCCAAGAACACAGTGACTGATCTTGGAAATGATTGATTTATTCCCTTAATCCAGGGTTCCAATGGCGATATTTGCTTGGGGAAGGAAAGAAAGCCCTCAAATGTTAGATAAGGGACTAGATCTCTCTCACACCTCCCAGTTTCTCTTCAGGGGATTCTGGGCAATGTGGGGTGGGGGGACAGAGGGGCAAATTGGCTACAGTCCCTCCCAAAACAACGGTTGTGATTGTCTCTTCAGGCTGGTGATAAATATGCAAGTGGGACACTTTGTAGAATTTCCCAAAGGGCAGAGCTACCAGCCTCACGCAAACCGTTCCCACCCACTTAACCCCACCTGGCCCAGAACCACCACAGGCCAGCTGACTTTGAACCTGAGCAACACTCTTTACTGCTAAACAGCAGGCGCAGTTGACAATATCCTTTAAAGAGGTCTTTCCTCCGGATTCTAGCTCTAGCCTCAAACCACAATTCATAACCAAATGCAACCCCGCCTACCCCTGAGTCAAGCCCCAGGAGCCAGGAATGTGCATGGGGAGAGGGACTGCCTCTCTCAGGAAAGTTAACCGCTGCTCTCACAACCCCCAGCTAATGCCTGTATTCTCCACCCCAATCTCCCCCACCCCCCTCTCCGGCCACGGTGGCAGGACCGCCCTAAAGTTATCACATACTTTGCAGAGTGGCACAGTAGCCCACCACGCTAGAAACCCAGGTCARGTGATTCATAAAACACCACCCCCTACTTCTGGCTGGCTATGAGTCCGTAGAACGGGATTCCTTAATCCTTTGAGCAGGCGATCATGGAACGTCTACCCAAAAAAGCRCACATGGGCACCTAAATAATGTTGCCTACAATTCTAGAATTCTTGATGGAGCGCCGAAGCACGACAGTTAAAGGGAAACAGACGCTCCAAACCACTGGGTTAAAGGCTCTAAAGAAATTCTTATGTGAACCCTTTTATCCATCAACTTAATTCACCAAGATTTGAGACAAACAACGAATCAAAGTGCCCAGTACAGGCCTCCCGTCTAAACACTCCACAACTGGTACTAGGAATAACTATGGTTGCAGAGGCCCACTGTGTGCTAAGCTGCCTCAAAACACAAAGGATATGAAACTCTAAATCACGTGGCGCAGGGGGCTGCGCCCCAGAGGATGGAATTTTTGAAAGCCCTCGTTCTTTTTCTTTTTTTTTTTTTTTTTCCTGACCCTGCAATCCCAAAACCTGGTTATGAGTCAGGCCTTCTGCGTAGAATGGGCTGCTAAAGGGAGGAAGTGGTCCTTGATCCCTCTTGACAGTTCTAGAGGCCACTATCGGCGTCAGGCGGGGCCACCCAAGAGGACTGAGTCCGCTTTGGAAGCGGGTCCACTGGGCGAAGCGGCACGGGAAAGAGGACGCGCGGAGAAGCCCTGGCCGCCGCCCAGAGGCAGGTGCAGGAGCGGTGTGACCCGCCAGCTTGGGGCGCGGATGCTGGGGTGCGCGGGCGGGCGCGGCAGGGAGGGGCGCCGGCCCCGGGAGCCCGACGCCAGGGCGTGGTGCAGGTGGCGGCGGGGGCAGAGTCGACACCGTACCTTGATTTTTGACCTGGCAACCGGGCGCTGCTTTGCTGCCAAGTGTCCATCTGGGTCCTCGGCGTCGCGGGGCTCGGGGGTTTCGCGCTCCAGGGCGCGCGGGGACAAGCTGCTCTCGGCGCCTCCAGGTTCCCCGGCGCTGCTGCTGCTGCCGCCGCCGCTGCTGCTGCCGCCGTCGCTGCGGCAGTCCTCGGGGGGGTCGTGGAGCAGACAGCCCAGGACCACTGCAGAGGGAGGGAGGGGCCGCAACCRATAGACACACACACGCGGCGTCAGGCACGGGCGCCCGCGGCAGTTTGACCTGCGGGCGGTGCCGCAGCCACCGCCCCGCCCCGGACCTGGGCACCAGGCCAAGTGGGCAATGTCGCCGGGGTATGCGAGTAAACACCCATTTCGGCCCCTCGAACTACTTTGGGGTGCTGGGGTCAGRTCCTTAGCCCCAAACCGGTGCCCACGAGGAACTGAGGGTCAGGCGCGGCAGAGGACCCCGCGCGCCAAGTTTCTTGTGCCCGGGGAGGCGACTCCGACCTCTTCCAATCTAGCTTTAGAGGGGTTGGCGGACCTTCATGCACCACCACCCCCCTTGAGGACGTGGGATTGAATGTATCCCTTTTTGGTTTTCAACCTCCTTCCTGGGCCACCTCCGCCCGCGCGGCAGCCAACGGTCCTGCCGCCGGGCAATTAGAGGCTCCCACTAGGGGGAAGGGAGCGCAGGGTGTCCCAGGCTTTCCAGCCTCACTCCCCTCTTTTCTCSGCCAGGAAGACCCTAGCGTCCTCCGCCCGAAAGAAGGAGATGAGGTGGGGGGAACCCAGCCCCGACCGATGAGTACAGAGAGCTCGTCCGCCCCTTCCCCCACCCGGAGAGCCCCGCGCCCAGGCCCGGCCCCCGCGCCGCGCTCACCTGGGATGTAAGCGTCTGCCCTTTTTTCATCCGGGAGCTCATCCCAGCTGCGGACCGTGACTCCCGGGCTCCTCCTCTTCACCAGGAAGACTTTGGGCATGGTGGGGTCCCTTTGCCAGGTGAGGCCCCCTCCTCTCGACTGTTTCCCGCTAGGGGCTGAGGTGGCGGCTGGGTCCCCAGCTCCCGGCGGTCAGAGCCCACCTTCCCGCCTCGCCTGCCCTCTTCCTCTCCCCCCCGCCGCGGCGTTGCCCGGGCCTCTCCCCCGCACTCCCGRAGACTCCCAGCCTCTGGGCTTGGCGACACCTAAGCCTTAAATCGCGGGTGAGACCACGCCGGGAAAAAAGTTTCATAAGGTGGAATAGAAAAGGCACCAGGAAACTTGGGAGTGAGCATGCGCCCTGCAACATAACGGTGTCAACAAGCTCGCTACCTGTCCGACCGGTTCCGGCGGCCGGGGCTGCCTGTTCCAGCCCTTCCTTAGGCATGAATGTTTGCAAAAGAATTTAACGTCTGATTCTTCCCCCCTCCTCTTTTTTAAAAAAGAAGGGCATTTTTTATTCAGCCCTCTGCCCCCTTCTCCCTTTACGTGCATCTCAGAACGAACTCCTCGAGGTAAACCGCAGGTCTGCTGCCTGGGACACCCCTCCCCCGAGTTAGAGCCTCCCGGGAGTTGGCCCCCACCTCCCGAGTGGATCTGTCTCAGACAAGCAAGCCAGAAAATGGCTCGATTTCTCTAGACCTTGTGGATCGCTCCAGAGGCTTGCTGAAATTTTGGTGGTCGGAAGTGGGAGGCGGTCGAGAGTCTCCTCGGGACTCTAACGTGAGGGTTTAAGCTTTCCGGTTGTCTACAACAGAATACACAGTAATAAAAAAAAATTAAAAGGTAGCCTCTTTGGAATATGTGATTTTACTAATTTGTGCCACACAATCTAAGAAAAACAAGGTTTGCTCCTTCAAAGCAACGTCCGCCTCAAGACCTTATATCCCAAGAGCCCCTTTACCCCAAATAAATACATGGTGGAAACAAAAGCCCAGTGCAGGTTATGCAAACGCAGCTTCAAAGCAAGTCTCCAGTTCTCGCCTACTCACATTATTGCCTCCCCTAACCACCTGATCCCCAAATTCTAAGACTAGAAAATGCATTTCAGGAAGTCAGGAACTGAATGCAGTTACACCCTCTTTCTCCTCTTTACCGGGGAGGTGGCTGGAAAGTTTTGTTCTTATTTTTATTTGCATTTCTCTATCTACTTTATTCCTGGAAGGGGGAGGAAAAGAAAGAAGAGGGGTTGGTAAAAGATGTTAAGTTTCTAAGGGCGGTACGCTCGTTTTGGGAGCGGCGCTGCCCCTTCCATGGCCCAGTTCCGATACGCCCAAGGCAACCTGCCCTGCCTGGTCACTGTAGGTGCCCCTCTCTGGGGTACCAGCTCCTGGGGGTTGCGGAGTGGGAACATCTGGCCAGAGGTGTTCTAGCGGCCGCAGCTCACTCGGCCGGCGGCCTCACCTGTCTGTAACCTGACCTGCTGAGCGCCCAGCCCAAGGGGCGGGGGAATCAACACAGCGGTTTTCCTGGTCTTCTTCCGCCTTGGAATGGCCTTTGGGGACACCGCAGCCTGGTAACGGATTTCTCGGCTTGGCTGGCGTATTCTCAAGGCGCACGGCGAGGGGGCGCAGCTTTGCCGGGGTTGTGGAGCGGACAGGCGCGCCACGGCTCCAGACCTGTCTTCAAGTATTCGCCCTGTCTGAACTCCAGATTTTCTACGAGAAAAACGATCCAAGAATGAAAGGGACTTTGATCCCTGTGAGCCAGAGGAGGAGGAGGAGGAAGACATTTCTACAGCAGCACAAGAAAGGAGGTTTCTTTCTTGGCTACAAGGCTGATGGCGCAGCTTCTGGGAGACTCTGCAGATGTATTTTTATCTGCTAACGAACTGGAGATTTGCTAGAAAGAAGGCGCTGGGTTGAATGAAAGAGTAAAAAAAGCGGGGGGGGAGAGAGGGAACTATGCCATCAGACTTATCCCTCATCTTCAAAAAATTTTAAAACCTCGTTGAAAATTCCTATTTTAGGAAAAAAAGGGCAGTCAACCCCATTAGTAAAGCTTTAAAAAAAAAGATTTCAAATCAATGAAAAGACCACTTTATCTATTTCTGTTACTTGTGAAGACTATAGAAAAAAAATATATGCCACAATGAAACCACTATTCTGTATAATTATTATGCACTAATAAAAACTTTTTAAAAAAATTATAGAACAGTGGATATATATGCCTAGAAACCTCAAAAAACACAAGTAAATTTAAGGATTTGGAAAAGAAGAATAAGGGATATAACTATCTATTCTATGATTATCGAATACACACTTATAATAGGTGCCAAGTGTTTCTTTGGGAGAAAGAAATTCTAATAGTGTTTTCTTTCTTTCTCTTCTGTTTTTTTCATGCTCCTACTTGGCAGGGGTATACTAATGCTATTACCATATACAAAGAACAAACTTTTGTCTTTGTTAACTTTATTGTAAGTTCAGTTTTCTAAATACTATAGGAAAATAGAGTAACCTCTCAAGTAGGATTGAATGAACCCAATTCTTTAAAAAAACTTCAGGCTTGAAGTTGGAGGAGACAAAAGACATGACAAGGTCTATACCCCACCATATTGGAGGTGAGAGTCTTGTACAGTATCCTTGAAATATGTATCCAGTTCTCTTAAATACTTTCATTTCACTGTCAAACAGTGATCTATTCTCTGGTTAGATACCAATGATAGTTTTTCTTTCTATGTGGAAATCTGCTTCTCTCTGCTTCCATGTTACCTCTCATTTGGTTCTGGAGCTACTGAGACCATCCCTGTGTCCCTTTCTCATCCTGATAGTTCCAAGTCCATGGCAGCAATCATCTGTGTTCTTACTTAAGACTTATTTTCCCCAGTAACGTAGAGTCAAGTTGAAACCTGCTCAGTGACATCCTTAGTGTACATAGTAATAAGAAGAGGTTAGGAGTATTCCTAATTTTTTTCTTTTTAGTTTTTATTAATGTATAGTAAAGTACTGTGAAAATGGATGTCAGAAGTATACAGCCTGATATATATATATATATATTAAGTATTTTTGAGTTGTAGATGGACACAATACCTTTATTTTATTTATTTTTATGTGGTGCTGCAGTTCAAACCCAGTGCCTTGCATATGCTATGCAAGCCCTCTACCACTAAGCTACAAACCCAGTCCCAGCCTGATATATTTTCTAAAAAACTGACTTCACATGTGGGAGCAGCCTTCAAGAAAAAGACAAGACTGCCAATTCTCATCACTCCTTTCAACATCAGATCAACGTCTTTGAAGTTACCATAAGACAAAAAAGAAGAAATAAAGGTATAAGGATTCCAAAAGAAAAAGAAAAAAAGGATTATTTGTAGTCAGTATGGTTGTCTACATAGAAAGATTTACCATAATGATGGATTGGATGACTTAGAATTAAAAAAAGCCAAAATCCCTAAATTCTTCTGCAAATGTAATACAAACCTCCAAAATACTTGAGAAAAAAAAAGTTCTTTATTGCAGAACTGACCAACTTGTCTTAAAATTTCTGTGAAAGAAAAGTCAAAATATTCCTGAAGGATAAGATGCATAGACTTAATCAACTTGATACCAGTGGTAATTAGAATGGTGAGTGGGTGATGTTCCCAAGCCCCTCATTAAGGATGCACCAGGATACAAAGAATGTGCATCCAGAGCTCAGCTCAGCAGGAATCAGCCCTGAGTCCACTAGCCCTACCCCACCCCCAGCCAGGGATGTGCCTCCTGGGGACCCCTGGCCTGAGGTTTACTCAGTCTGTATACATACTCAGAATTTTCCAAGATCCCAGCAGCTTCTCCACATTATCGGAGCACATTTGTATCTGTGAAAGGGTGGGAAAGGAGGACCTTACCAACTCTTTCTTGAGGAAGACCACCTGGTGTTTTCACGTTCTCCAGCATCTCCTATCCTCCAGCAACTTCAGTCTCATTTTCTTGGGAAATTGCTCCTTTTCCACTCAGCCAGTGCAGTTCTAGACAGGCTAACTCCACCCCTCCTGTGGGAGGTGGGCATTTAACTCAGTTAATTAGAGCTTCTGTCAACTTGGCCACAGTGATTGCTTCAAGGGCAGAATTGAGACCCAAACAGAACCAACTTTGGTTGAGATTCTCCTTCCCCTGAGCTTGAGGACAGGATGTGATATAAACCTGGGGCAGCCAACTCTGCTGCCAGCAGCCACCTGAGACTAATGACAAGAAGAAAGCAAAGCCAAGAGATAGAGTCCCCAATACAGTGCTATATCCAGCCCTGCCAGAAGCAAAATCCATCCCTGGAGTAGTCAAATTATTTTCTTTTCTCTTCCTCTTCCCTCCCTCTCCTCCTCTTCTTTCCTCCCCTCTCTCCCTCCCTCCCACCTTCCCTTCCTCCCTCTCCCTCTCCCTCCAGTTAGGGTGGTGCTTCTTCATTTGCTACCAAGTTTCAACTAAACTCTTATTAAAGTGATACCTGCTCTCTTTGTCCTACCAGTGACCCATGGAAAAGACACTGTATCCTTTTCCAATAAACTACAAGCTGGTTCTCCAAAGGCCACGGGAGCCCAATAACTTTCTAGCTTGTTCTTGTGAGACAGAGGATATGGCTCTGTACATTAAGGAGATAGATAGATAGATAGATAGATAGATAGATAGATAGATAGATAGATAGAGAAACAATTCTCCATCATTTGGGGGTAACATGAAAATATAAATGTAATTAAATGGATAGGGAGTGATTTGATTATTATTGTAAGAATTACAGTTTTAATATGCTTAGGATGCTTAGAGTCTGAATGAATCCAGATTCACAAACTCAGGTGTGTAAATAATGTCATGTGATTTTATTTTAATTTCATTCCACAGTTTCACCCCAAGTGGTAGGCTTATAAAATAGCTGCCTTCTTTTCCCTCCCCTCCACATCTTATCCCCCAAAACAGGTATATAGGTTCTTCCTGCCGTCTAGATCCAGAGCCTCTCTCTCCCTGATCAACCTCCCATTTCTCCCTCCATGGTCATATGTCTACATCTTTCTYTTCCCCAATCATGAATTATATATTTTTAAATACTGCAAGTGTGCATGGTGCGGTGGCGCACACCTGTAATCCCAGCAGTTCAGGAGGCTGAGGCAGGAGGATCTTGAGTTCAAAGCCAGCCTCCGCAATGTGCCACAGATTGAACACAGAGGCACTTAACCAATGAGCCACATCTCCAGCCCTTTTAATTTTTTATTTTGACCAGAGTCTCACTAGGTTGCTGAGACTGGCCTTGAACTTGTGGCTGACCTCGAATTTGTGATCCTCC